GCAAGATATGGTGAAGAAACACATGCGGCAAGTGAAGTGTTTAGGCGTGGACGTGGCACATCACGGGTACCCCAGACGAAAAAAAAAAGGAGGCAGTGCCGCCGAAGTGTTTGAAAGTCGGTTAATTACAAAAAAAAAAAGAGAAGAGAATACACGCACAGATCGAAAAAGAAACACAGATACACTTGAGGGAGGCCTGACTGACTCACTCAAATTTCATGCGGCAGAGTGGCAGAGTGGCGAACGTGCAACATCAAAGGCCGCCAGCGACTTGTATGTTTTCATTGCTTCAAATTGGAAAATGTCTTGGCATCGAAAATATTTGGTTATCATTGTGTAAATACCGATGGGTTTTTGGGGGAAAGGGCAGGATGGAGGAGGACGAGGGTTGGATCCTGAAGGCAGAGGAATAGTTTTCCATACACTGGGACAAAAACTTGGTCCACATGGAGGTTCTGCTTGCATTGTCCTCCGACTTTATAGCACGTCCTTCCTCTCAGTGCGGACTCAAAGGAGTTTCTGGGATGGACATCCTCAGGTGTTGCTTGAATTGAAATCAAGATTCTGTTGTCTGTTTGGTGCCTGCAGCAAGGCCTGCACCATAGATCGGAAGGTTAGTGTTAAATGTCGGCGATTTGCACCAGCAGCGCAGCGGCAGGGAGGCTGCTGGGGAGATCCGAACGCGGCAGGATGCTCTGCCTCCCATCGTGTCCCGTTCCAGCGATGATGAGGCTCGAGTAGGCCATAGATCTGTGCGTGTGTGTGTGCTTCGAAAAGGACATCTTGCACCCGCTGTGGGTGCGAGGCCCTGGTGACAGCCCCGACGACAACAAGCAGGCCAAAAACTCAGCTGCCGTTGCACTGCCTTGAGTAGGCCGTGTCCTTGGCCAGGGCCATGGCCTTGACGACACGCCGACGATGTGTGGCCAGAGTAAATGGGATATTTTGGCCTCTCCTGGTTAACCGTAGACATATAGAAAACTTTTGGCATTGAGCCCGGAATCTCTAACGCAGAATTGTGGCCATACAACGGCCTTCGGTAGATGGGAGATCCTGTGCATCCTGTCGCGTTGTTTGGTCACAGTCACAGTCACGATATGGATGTCAACTAATCTCAAGTTTCTGTGTGTTTCCATCTGCGAGGTTTTATTTGCAGAATCCTGTTCACGGCTCAGTGGCCCTGAAGCGGCCCGGAGCGGAGCGGAGCAGAGCTGCGGTTCGAAACAATCAACCTAATGGGGCAGGGCAGGGCTATATAAAAGAAAATTATGTATAAAAACCTCTTGTGTTGGTCAAATTCATTTCCACTTGATTACATGCAAAGCTCAAATCTGTTTGCTTTCGAGTCCCAATTCGAGTTCTCTCCACTCCGATTGCCGAAATCATTTAAACGGAATTAATGCTCGAACAAAACATGTGAAAACTATCGCTCCACCATAAATACTTTATGCTGCGTGGCAGGGAATCGGTATAAATATATTTATTATTTCGGTTTCGGTTTTTCGATGGGGTGTGTCTACGCGCCTGTTTGAATATCGCCAGAAATTGGCAAAAAGGTAGAGCAGGGCGTGTGCAAGCCTAGCGGGTAGCTTCCCAGTATTTTCTACCATTTACCCCCCCTGATGGGGGACATTTCAAAGCCAAACATAGAGCAAGAGATTTCTTTAATTAGTTTGGTGGTTGCCGTGTGGCCACATCAAAGACTGACGGAAATCTATCCGAACAAAGAACACCACGAAATTGCCAAGGAAATTTCAATGAAAAATTTAATGTTCTTCAAGTTTATTGACCCTGGATGGACCCTCAATGGGGTGTGTACTCTATAAAGAAGTAGAGGTTTAATAGAGCCTACGATCGGTAAGTTCCTTCCATGATCTCTTCTGTGAGCCTAGACCCTTAAGACCCCCCTCTGGACAGCCCATTTCCCCACACACACAACCCCCATATGGGCCCCTTGGTATAGTGTCCTTTTCTGATTACCGTCGCCACTTGTACGCCGCCGCATTGCACTTAACGAGGAGCTCAAGCCAAGCCAAGACCAAGACAAGGGGCACGGACAAAGTGGCACGAGGCAAGACATTCTATATACAATCTACACATACTTAAGCCTGTGTGTGTGCGTGTGTGTGGATAAAACTATAGGAAAAAGTGAGCGTGCCACATCCTTTTGGCAGGACACGAAACAGACGAGAAGAGCGCAGAGCACGTGACAATTGCGTCAACAGATTTTTCGCTGAGATGAGCACAAAATTGTTAGCAACAAAAAACAGTAAAAAACGTGAGCAGAGAATGGTCTCAGCTGTGGGGGGGGGGGATGGCCAGGGGCCCCAGACTACTGCTGTTGTTGTTGCCTGTAGTCGTTGACAATATTTATGCAGCAGCAGCAGCGGCAGCGGCAACAACAGCAGTGCTGCTGGTGCCCCAAAAGGAGGCTGGAACGGTAAAGGAATGTTGTGGGGGGGTTGAGGGGGGCTGGGGGGTTGTCTTTCCACTGTTTGTTTTTCCATTTTCATACATTTTACAGCTTTTGTTTTATAATTTGGACCCGCAAGGCGACAAACTCGAGGAGGCACCAAAAAAAAACCCAAGGGAGAGGAAGGGGAGTCGAAGGGGAGATACCCATTAGATACAGAAAGACTAGATAAATATATGAAATATTTATAGGAATTTTTAATTTCTTTTCAATCTCGAGATCCTACCAGTTAAATCATCTTTAGGTCGAACCTTTGGTCGTAAATCCACACCATAAGAGGGGATATTACTGGGAGATATAGAGGGCCGACTCTCAAGCCCAATCTACTCCCCTTGGCAGGGCCTGCAGGGCATCAGAAAACTCTCCACCGATCGAACAGCACTTGATGAAGCCTGTTGTTGTGGCTGTGGCGGGTTCTGGTGCTGGCTCTGGTTCTGGTGTGTCCTGTGGCTGTTTCCGCTTCCTCTTGTGCGCCAGCGAAAAACTCGAAGCTGCGGTAGGTTGCTCCTGGTCCTGGTCCTGGTCCTGGTCCTGCTCCTGCTCCTCCTCCTTGTTCCGCATGGCCATGGCTAAGGTGGTTTTGTTACAGTTTTCGGGGGGGGAAGGGGTGGGGCACCGCAGTACGTGACGAAGAACAAAAGAAGGCACTTGGGCCTGCTTCCGCCCAGCGAGAGAGAGCGAGCGAGAAGGGGCATGGAATGGTCCTTGTGCTTCTGTTTTTTACAAAACTTACTTGCCACTGCCACTGCTGCCTGCCACTGCCACTGCTGCTGCTTTTGTTGTATCCACAAAAAAGCACGCTTATGATAATAATGACATTATGTACGGGCTATGCGAAATGTTGACAGCCGCAGTTCTTTTTTGCCGCTTGCTTTTTGTTGAACAAACTTCTCTAACGAGGCCGGGCCTCAAGAGAGGGAATCATATACTCAATTTCGTCCCAATAAAGCCGGTAGAAAGTACTACAATACTTCCTATGCACTTCCATAATCCCTTTTGCTGCTTTCCCAAGGCAGGTTATTATTTTTATTATTCTGCCATAAGCAAATATTGACTTTGCGTATTTTTGAAAAATATTTGAAAACCCTGGAGCAATGGAAAATAATTTTGTATTTATTTATATAAAGTTTTTGAACCAAAAACAAACAAAAACCTCTGGTAGCCCGCAAAATGAACAAACGAAAAATGGTAAAGAGTCAGAAGGCAGGTAGGCCATAGAGCCGTATTTCTGTAGGGATTGCAATGGCCTGGCAGATCGCAGCTGGTGGGCGTTACTAATGTGTGAGCCAAAAAGCAAACAATTTGCATTTTCCCCTAATGAAAAGATAATATTTATATGCTACACAAAAATACTGGTATATTGAATTGAAAGAGTGGCAAAATGAAGACCATCTGGAAATGTTTGGCATTAGAATTTTAGTAAAAAAAGAAAGAAAGAAGAAAGGAAATCCCTACTGGGGATCCCCCTCTAGCCCCAACCAATTGGTGAAACACATAAAGTTCAACAACAAACACACCCATAAGTGTTCCCATTACAAATTAACACTCCATAAATATTGTATGCCACATTCTTAAGTGGCACATAATCCCGAATGCTCCCCCCCGATCCCCCCGATCCCCACGAACATACGCGATCTCCATATGGACGCAAACAGGAAGCTAATCCTGCTCAGTGATATATCAACATATTTATGGTAAACGGGATACGGAGGGCTTACGGAGGGCCCAGCCAGTGGTTGGTGCCATATGTTCCCTACCATTTGGTATTTATAGGCCTGAAGGCGATTCGAAGGCGGTGCCTCAAGGAGAAAAAAACCGCAAAAACTCCATAAAATTTTATGAACACTTTCTCGACAATCCCCTGTGACGACCGCCGGCTGCTTGAGTCTTTTAATGTTTAATAAACAATTATTAGACAATATATATCTTTGATCTGTTCACCGATTGAGTGACTGACTGACTCACTCACTGGTCTGTGGTCTATGGTCTGACGGGGGAGGGGGTGTAAAAATAAATATAGTATCTCTCGGCTCTTTGTTTAGATCAAAATCCGAAAATTACGCACACCACTCGAATTCCAACGAATCATAACAATAACATCGGATTCGATCAGGAGGCACCACCTTGACAGGCACCACTCTCCCGGAGTGGGAGTTTTTTAAGCAGAACCAGAGAGCTGTGCTTTGATGTTGCAAGAACTCAAATTTTTCAAGAGAACCTTCTATTTCGTGACTGGAAAAGCAAGAGGGCCAGTCGAGCTCCACAAGGGTGTTGTAGAGCTTCTGGGATGCCCCAAAATACCAGGGGCCACGACGATCAGACGTCACAAAGTACTCCAGCTCCATCCACAGAATGGACAGGTCCCCATTGATCAAGAAAGTCCTAGCTTTCCTTTTAGAAACCCTAGAAACCACAAATATGTTACAGGCAGGCTCTGGCTTTCGTTGACTTTTGCGGATTACGTTTTAAAAAGTGCTACAGTTTTCAAAATTTTTTGTATCGATATGTTTCATTTTTCATTGTTTCTGGCTGATTAAAATGCCTTTTATTTTGGCAATTGCTCAAAGATCAAAGAATATCCAGACACCTTAGATGCAACACTTGTTTGTTTAACATGTCTGAGGCACTGTGATGGTCAAGATTCCAGAATGGTGAAGCCATTTCGGATGGACAAACAAACTTTCACAGTGATTTTGGAGAAAGATCATGCTTTCCCCTGGATATAAAGAACTTTCGTTTTAACAAACATCAGCTGTGCTCCACCCAGAAGTTCTGTTCCAAGCACAGTCTGAGGTGTTTCTTGCCAACACTCCGAAAACCAAATCGGACTGCGTCAACCACATGGTAGGCTGGGTGCTATCCTTTAAGCTACTCAAACGTCACTCATTCGCCGACTGTCAAAAAAGGAAAAAATAATAATTTTGTTGCAAAATGAAAGACCAAAATTTTGTGTCCTATTTGGTGGAATTTTGTGTAAAGCTGAAGCTGAATACGCCCAAATACCGATTTGTTACGGAAGCAAACAGAGAATTCAGCTGCAATGTAGAGCTGCAGGATATCCAGGGCTATGGCAGGGGTAGAGCTCTCGCCACGGTAATCATGCGGCTTACGAAAGTTTAATGAAATCCCTTTTCGACAGCCCGTTCGAAACAGTCTGCGGCCCATGTGGCGGCCAGGAATGTTTGGACGCACATAATATTGCTGCCTGTCGTCCGAGTGCTGCTACAGGAAAAGGATTTCAAGCCATATATCCGCGAGGGGGATATCTTCTGGGAGATTCGTTTGCTCAAGACGAAGCAATTCAGGAATCTGCGGGAGCTGCTCGTCCTGGTGGACAAATCCATCGGTAATATTTGGCAAGGATCTGTGGAACTGAGCAGCTTGTCAGTACAGGCAACCACTGAGGTGCGAATGGGGGACAGAGTCTGGCAGAATGTCCCCATCGTCGAGGTCACAGAAACACTTTTCTTCGAAACGCTTACCCTCCCGGTAGTGCTAGTGAGCAGCAGATCGAAAGAGGTGATAGTCAGCAGTGTACTCGACAGCACGGAGGATCCAGAGACCAGTAGCTTGGAAATATGCCCTATTCCAATGGTTCCAGAGGTGCCAGTAAGCAAGGCTCAGGGGTCCGCCAGTGTGGGTCCTGCCTGCCCAGCCCTGGCGATGGATCCTACCGTTCCCCAGGACGTACATGCGGATCTCCACGCCGATGCCGAAGCAATAGAAACAATCAAGCTAGAAGAGGTCGCCATTCCCGTGAGTCCAGTCTTCGAAACAAGGGCCACCGTTGTACAAAAGTCGCCCCCTGTGGAGGACATCGTGAAGACTGAAGAAGACATGGAAAAACTTCGCATATTCCAGACCTACCGTAATATCACCAAAAAAAACGACCCAGAAACTAAGCCCGTCCGAAGGTGCGATTATGACGACTACTTCATGAACTTGCCCAAGGACCTCAAGAAGGAGGGCTTTAAAGTGATCAATTCCAACGACTTTAAGACTGCGAAGGAGAAGGCAATCAGTCTTCTGAACGCTTTAAAGCTGCCTCATACCTTCAGCCAAGTGAAATCCATTTCCGGTAGGACAATGATCAAACTCGAACTCGACTGCAACTACAATGGCATATGGATTGACTTTGAGACCGATATTTATAGCCACTTCATTGAGTATATGGTGGATATGCTTGATTAGGGTTACTTACTGAACAGAAAACAACTGAAGAACAATACTAACATAACTATCTACACAGAAATACCAGAATCTAATCATCCATGTGTGTACCTGATCTACCAGAACCAATTGTGATCATCTTGCACTTATATGATCCAATCCTATACCATTATGTGATCTTATACTTATTTGAAATACCTCAGAGCAGTTTGGCAGCTCAATAAAAGCACTTTAATAAAGGCCGATTAAATAGAATTTATGATAAATTCATTTTTATAGTACATTCTTGCTTGCTTTCGTTTTTGAATTTGCGCGCCCATATGCTGGTTGTGGAATTGGCTAACTTCCAGCATTAGCCAGCTACTCCGGTGGCGGGTTGTGGAAATGGATAGCAGCTGTCTTTCCGCATTAGACACCACTGATTACTAAATACAAGACATTTTTGTGGTAAAATTTATACATTTCGTGTGAAACAAGCAAAACATATCGCAAAGAAGTGGGCGCTTGCTTTCGTTTTTGAATTTTCGCGCTCATTTGCTGGTTGTGGAATTGGCTAACTTCCATCATTAGCCATCACTAAGCTCAGTGACGCCGGTAGCCGGGTTGTGGAAATGGATAGCAGCTGTTTTTCGGCATTCGACAACACTGATCACTAAATACAAGACATTTTTGGGGTAAACTTTATACATTTCGAATTTAATGAATTGGCGTGTGAAACAAGCAAAATGGAGCGCAAAGAAGTGGACGCACAGCAGTTCATTGATCACGTACGTAAATGGAATGAAATGTTGGGATGAGCGTTGTGGATTTAGCCGTTTTGTTTTCTTGTGTATCCTATAAATAGACGCTGCTGGCCTCGGAGCTAATGCGGGATCCAAATCACTTTATTATGGATCTGATCGATCACACAGGAGTGTTCCCCAAGGCCGAGGGACCCACCAATCTGACCACCAACACGGGAAATCCCCCCAATGATGGGACTGGCGGCTACGCGGAGAAGGAGCTGAACTTCCACAACACAATCTTCCAGTTGGTGAACAAGCATGTGAACGAATCCTCCGCCGCGGACAGCGGTGTGGGGCCGGTGGTGTCGCAGCAAGTGCAGCAGCCAGCATTCCCAGCCCTGGCCATAGAACCGACCGTACCCATCGATGTCTCGGCGTGTCTGCACGCTGTCGACGATGACGATCTTCTGTATGTCCATAATGCTCTAACGACCAATGCCCGCAAGGTGCTGCCCCACAAGAAGCGCATCTCGAGGAAGCTCAAGGGCAACATCGATGCCGAGATGGAGCAGCAGCACCAGCCGCACCACCAGCAGCACAAGCATGTCATTCAGCATGTCCCACCAGGAGCGGCTTCGCTCTACAGCTGTGAGATCTGCGGCTATGCAGTGCACACACAGTTGGACTTTTTTGCCCATCTCAAGCAGCATTATGAGCCACCAATGGCCATGGAACAGCGATTGGAAGTGCCGATCCAACAACAGCAGCAGCAGCAGCAGCAAGAACAGCAGAAGGAGCCGTTGGACATGTGCGGTCTCTCCACACAGGATAAGGCGAGTATCTGTCCTTGTATATCTGTCATTCGACTGCTAATCCTCTATTTCTCCACAGCTTCAACAGGAACAGGCCAAACTGGATCAGGTCTTTCACGATGTTCAGCTGAACTTTGAGAACTTTCACCCCATCAGCCATGTGGATCACGATGTGGGAGTGCCTGTAAATGTAAATGATGTTGGCGTCAATATGGTCATGCATGGCGAAGCCACAGACAAACTGAATACCGTGGGAGCCACCAGCAGCTCGCCCAACGTCAACGTCGTGGTCCCCGTCGTGGATGATGTGGAGTTCAGTGACACGGAGGACATGCTAGAGGGCATACGGAACGTAGTGGATAAGGTGTCCATCGAGGACACTTGCGATGAGCTGGTGGAACTGGAGCTAACCACAGCCACGATCCGGGCGCCCTGGTTTAACAACAACTTCAGTGACATCACATTTCCGGGGCTGCTGCTGCCGGGAGAGCCGCCGCCAGCGACCACGGAGCAAGCGGCGACGCCGCTGCTCAAAGAGAATCCCAATGGGACGGAACAGATGGATTTGGATTTCCTCAGTGCCAGCAAACGAGAGGAATCAAATGAAATCAAAATGGAGAAGGCGCTGGAAAAACCCATCGAAGGGATTGAACAGCCCCTGCTGGTGGCGCCACCAATGTGCTGTACCTCTCCGGCACCGCCTGCTGCCCCGCCGCCCGGCTCGACCGGCTCGCCGCTAGTCCTAAACGAAGCCGGCTTCAAGCTGGAGGCCGTGGAAATGCCCGACGACAGCGCACCACCTTCACCATTCGACAATGGCGACGTAGGCGGCGACGGCGATGGCGATGGCGATGGCGACGGCGAGGATGAAGACAATACCGATAGCTATGCCATGGAAAGCACCGCCACGAGTCCGAGCGAGGACTCGCCGAGCAAATCGAGGAGGAAGCACTTTTGCGACAAGTGCAACAGGGACTTCAATTCGTACAATGCCCTCAAATACCATCAATATACACACAACCAGGAGCGCTCGCACAAGTGCAGAAGCTGTGAAAGATCCTTCTACAACCAGAGTGCGCTGACGGCCCACGAGAAAACGCGTAGGATAATCCCCACAGATCCCCGTCTAAAAACCAACTCATCCCATCTTTTATTCCTCCAACAGACTCTGGGATAAAGCCCTTCGAGTGCGAGAAATGCGACTCCAAGTTCCGACAGTGGGGTGATCTCAAGTACCACATCATATCCAGACACAGCGACATCAAGGCGCACATGTGCGAGTTCTGCGGCAAGAGCTTTTCCCGACGGTACTCTCTGGTCCTGCATCGACGGATCCACACCAGCGAGCGGAACTACGCCTGCCAGTACTGCGACAAAACGTTTCGGGCCAGCTCGTACCTTCTCAGCCACGTCAAGGTGCACACGGGAGAGCGACCGCACGAGTGCAGCGTATGCCAGAAGAAGTTTCGCGTCTCGGGGGATCTCAAGCGGCACTCGCGTATACACGATCCGGCCAGAAAGAGCCAACCTCCGGCCGCAAAGGTGGAGAAAAAAAAGCTGAAGCAAATCAAAGATGAGGAGGAGGTGGTGGCGGCGGCGGCGGCGGTGGTTGCCACCCATAAACAAAAGTCTGACGCCCTATGCGACGAATCTGAGCAGGAAATTCTCGGCCTATAGCCGTGCTGTGCCAAGGTTTCTTCAATATAGTATTAGCAAAGATTAAAGAGCACATAGATGAAGCATTCTGGGTGCCCGTGAGCCATCGGAATACCTGGCCATACCTGGAATACATCCAATGGGCAGAAGTGCCATCTATGTGCTCCACACTCTTGTGTACTCGTAAATTATAAATCCTAAGATTTTTGTACCATACAGCCAATGTGTAAATACCAAGTACAGACGTGAACAAAGGGCCATGTCTTTTACATTCCACAACGCGTTCCACAGGGTCCCCCCCAGCCCCCCAAACAGCCGTTGAATAAAAAGCCACTCGAAAATTCTATTGCAGAGCATTTCTTTATTATTTTTCATGTTTTTCTCTTGTCCTCTTCATTTCATTTTTCTGTTTCAGTTTCCTTCAAATATTTCACTGTTTTCTCTTTTGAATATTTTCTTCTTTCTCTGTTTTTTTTTTGCACTTGTACCGTTCATCGACTTAGATGTTAATGAGTAAGATACATACACATACATATGTTTGTATATATGTATATATATTAAATATATATCGTTAATATTAATGTAACTATGTACAACACAAGTGTTTGGGGGCGCCTGTCATCGTCAGCCCAAACTCAATGAAATCTTTGTATTCTTTTTGTTTGTTTAGAACATAATTTGTATTTCTTCTCTCTCGTTTTATTTATCATCTCATTCAGTTTTTTGTTTTGTTTCTCAAAAATATTCAACATAAACGCTCCAGCAGCCATACATTTCCATAGATTTGTGTCTGTGTGCTTTTCCATACATATTTGTTAGACGTCGCGACGTTCATTATTTTCACAATTTTGTTTTTTTTGTAAGAACTCTTAAGAACTTATAAACTAAAATCCTAGTATTGGTTGCTTCACATGCTTCTCTTCTCTTCATCTGCTTTAATGTACGCTCAGTCCATGATATCTTCCATTTCTCCATTTTGTTACACAAATATAATATATAATTCATCATCTCCTCTTATCCTCGTTCTCCATTTCTCCAATCTCCATTCTTCTGTTTGTGTTAATTAATAATTAATTTAAAAAATTATGAAAACTCCATTCCTAGTATCAGTATGTCCTGCACTCTCCCAGCTTGATCCTAACTTTGCCTGATGGTTCTTTATTCTTCCTTATTCATTCTTTTTATTTATCTTTCTTTATATATATTCTTGGTGTTTTGGTGGTGTGGATTATGCTGTTTTGGTAGGTTGAGTGTTCTGAGTGTTAGTGTGTGTGTTTGTGTGTGTTTTTCTTTTAGAGGGTATGATGGTATGGTTATTGAAAAATTAGCATACGAAACATTTGCGACTACTGTTTTTTTTGTTTGTTTTTTTTTTTGGGAATGAACTGAAATTTTGCCTGCCTGTTGTTTGTTGTTCGTAAATATGATTTAAAAATTAGCATTACTTTGAATATTTCTTCATTTGTTTTTGTTTTACATACATATATATGGTACTTAAAAATTTATGTTTTTTTGCTTTACTTTTGCTTTTGCTTTTGCCTTTGCTATGGATGCACACGTTTACTGGTTGTTTAGTTAATTTTTGTTTTAAATTGGTATTCTTTAAATTGAATATGGGCTTATTTCGTAGCATTTCGCTTTTGTTTCTTCAAACGAAAATATTAATTATGCTTTACTGCAAAATGCAAACAGTTGCCAATTGTTTGTGTGTTGTTGCGTTTACTAAGTCCTTCCCGTCCTTTCCGTCCTCCCCTCATCAATCATCAATCATATTGGTAAAACTGAAGAGCTTTAATCGTATGCATGATGGTTTGATGGCAGCTTTTTGGTTTTTGTATTCTGTTTTTCTCGGTTTTTCTTGGTTTTTCTTGGTTTTTCTTGGTTTTTCTTGGTTTTTTCTCGGTTTTCTTACATTGCGGATAATTAGAATATTGTTTTATAAAATAGCTTGCTATTTTATGTTGTACATTAAACACATATTTAACTGTTTTTACAACCGTCTTGGTTGGACAGTTTGTATCGGCATTCGGTTTTCATCATACATCATCATACAAAAGATTCTTTGTTCTTTATTATTTTTATTTAATTTTTTATTATGTTTTTTTTTCTTTCTGTATTTGGGTTTTGTTTTTTTTTTTTAGTTGCTATTGTTGCTTCACATTGTTGCTGTTACTGTTACTATTTTGCTGCGTCCCAAGTGTTTGCTACGCTATTTCCCCACCCCCATACTGTCTGTCTCCTTCTCACATTCTCTGCTCCCTCTAACCGCTCACAGTTCCTTTCTCAATTTATAGAAATATAATTTTGCTCTTTTTTTCTTTTCTTTTCGTTTTCGTTTTCTTTTCTTTTGTTTTATAAGTTTGAGTCTTCTGTCTACATCACCACATATTTTCTTGGTTTTAAAAAAATTAAAATACTTTCTTCTTTCCACAGTTCATAAAATGTTTAACTCTTTTTCTCTTTTCATGGCTTGCCAATTTCTTCAAAAGTTTTCTTGTTTCTCCCACACAAATACAATATTTACAGTTTACAGATTTTGGTTTTCTTTCTTTTTCTTTTACAGATTTACTCAAATTTTCTCCATTTCTTTCCATTTTTGTAGTTGCTACATCTAAATCTTAAATCATTCTTTACACAGCCCCCCCACCGACTGCCGTCTCGCCATCTCTGCTCTGCTGCCAGATCTTGTTCTGCATTTACTTTGCTTTCTCATACGATTTTTGTTTCTTGTTCAGTTTAAAATTGTGAAAAAATAGCTGCATCTATTGTAAATTTTAGGTTTGTTTGCATTTAAAATTTGAATTACCTTTAGCTTTATATAATTTGATTTTATGATATTTTTTTTATCCTTGTTGTTGCTGTTGCCGTCCTATTTTTTGGTTGCATGAAGACCCGACGCCTGATCGTGTAGAGGGCGCGGCCAGTGCTGCCAAGCATCAGAGGGCGCCCCTAATCGTGCGGCCAGTGCTGCCAAGCATCAGCTGGCCCGCGCTCAACCGTTAGGTACACTTGCTGTCTCTATTTGCAGTTTGAGTTCTTGATTTCTTGAGTTCTTGTTGTTGTTGTTGTAGATGTAGATGTAGCTGTGGTTGTAGCTGTGGTTGTGGTTGCGGTTGTTGTTTCGTATAAAAAGTCTTTGATTTGCCATTTCCCTTTCCCTTCCCATTCGATCCCTTCCTTCGCTGTTAGCGCGCTCTGCATTAGAGGCTCACCTGCTGCATCTTATCAAAATCTAAACACGGCCGATGCGGTCGCTGCAGTCTCTGGGTGGCAGCGGCGGCGCTCGCGGCATTGGCAGCATTGTGTGTCGTTGTTGCTGCTGCTGTGGATGATGTGGTGCCTCCTCCTGCTGCTGCTGCTGCTCCTCCTCCTCCTCCTGTCGATGAGGATGTGGCTGGGGCTGCTGTGCCTGCCGCTGTGGCCGAACCACCACCACCCGAATTATTACTAGGACGACGCCTGGGCGAGATGGCGCAGTGGAACAGTTTCGCGGGCGGACTAACCGAACGCACCTCCATGTCCAGGCCGGTGGTGCTGGCCGGACTGCTGCGCGAGCTATTGTAGTGGAAACTGTACTTGGGCTGCGGCTGATAGATGTGGTGGCTGCTGTTGCTCATCTTCAGGGAGCTGCTGCACGCCTTGATCACACTCGGCTCGTTCTCGTTGCCGCCGCCCAGCACGGCTCCGCCCAGCTTGGGGCATTTACTGTGGTTGCCGCCATTGCCACCGCCGCCGCCGCCGCTGTTGTCGCCATTCTCCTCGTTTACACTATTATCACATAATTTAATATTTTCGATGCCACATCTGGCCTCCGATAATATCAGTGGCGTTGTGGAGCGGAACGTCATATGGCTACGATTTGGCTTGAACGCCTCCAATGGCGGCGATGTGCGAAAATTCACGGGCGTCAATATCGGCTCCAGCGAATTGCGTAACTGCAAAGCATACACAAGAGTCACAGATCAGACACGGAATCCTTGCAGTTATCTGCCACATACTCACCTCATCGTCGGAGCTGTGGGCCAGGGACCGTTTGCGGTTCTCCACCATCAGCGTGGAGCTTGAACGCTTCGAGTTGGAGGTGGTGGCCCGTTCCTCGTAGGGTGCCTCCGTGTCCAGCGAGGAGGTGCAGCCACGATTAGAGAGTCGCGAGGCACACGAAGCGCCCGTCGCGGTCGTGGTGCTATGGCCATGTCCTGCCACCGACGAGGGCCCATTGATCACCTCCAATTCCTCCTCGGAGCTGTGCTGATCGTACATGAGATGGGCGCAAGATGACGATGTCTGCTGGTGACACATCATTGCAGGAGCAATTGGTTTTTGGCCAGCGACAGCTAAAAAGAAGTACGAGGAATTATTTTTATTCTTTATCTATGGCAGTCGCTAACCAGTGTTGTGTCTAACATTCTTGTTAACCAACACTGAAAGTGTGGAAAAACTTAAAAAAATCAAGTCTTGTGGCAAGGATGCTTTTAATCGGTTTTGTTTTTCGTAATTAATTGTTGATTTCAGTAATATCAATGTGGAACACGGTGAAAAATCAAATCCGAATGACAAAAATGTGTTTCTGTGCGTAACCGGTTTTCACGAATTTCAAAATTGTTTAATTTGGGAATTTAAAGCCAAAAAAAAGAAAAAGAAAAAAATTTCGAAATTTGGTTTCTACAAACTGGTTTGCTCTGTCGCACTTACTAGTTTCCATATCCACGTCTAAGTGACGTTGTTTTTCCACATCGAGGAGCTCACCATCCGATTCGGTGCCAGAGTCATTCGATTCACGCTGCGGGGCGAGAAATGTTCCGATAAATGAAATGTCCAATATTATTATGCTAATAAGGGTATTTCCCATATCGAACCTTTTTACGAAGAAAATTTTTCGATGCCTTTAATGGATTCTCGCGATTTTTCTGCCTGACAAACTTTATCATGATTTCTCGCTATGTGCTTTATATGGTATATATTATACATTCCACACACGCACACGCACACCGACACGCTTACGCACACACACGCACACATTCACACTCCCACAATTACGGCGGAAAAACTTACTACGACTACGTTGCAGTCGCAGCCGCAGTCACAGTCACAGTTAGCGTCAGCGTCAGCGTCACCGTCGACGTTCAAGTCAACGCCAACGTCAGCAGCGGGCAGCGACTGCGCGCGTATATGTATTTTGTTGTTTTCTTCTGTGGTTCTCTTCTTCTACTACTATTACTACTACTACTTTTTTGCCCCTTTACGTTTTACACGCTCTTTCTATGCCCCGTCCGTCCCACCATTCTGCTCCCACTGTCCACCGTGCCCCCACCACATGGGGCAGAATGTATTTTGTCTTCTGCTTCC